ATCTTTATGGTCCCCACAGTGCCCCCCCTCCCACCGAGACAATCCTCTGGAGACGCCACTGGTCTGAGCGGTAAAAGCAGAAAGGACACGTCTCTGAGCCTATTACACCTGCACTATCAACACAAACAGTGATTGTACTGAGCAGACGACCTCCCAGACCGTCTGTAAAAAACCTGCGCAATGTCATCACACGCGCGCGCAACAGGAGCCAGAGAAGGAGAAAGTTGCACCAAACCAGTTACGCATGCGGTCCCTCACCTTTATCCATGTGCGCGCCTCCCGGACGGCTCTGCCTGCTGCGGGCTGATGCTGATGAGACTGAGGAGACTGATGAGACTGCCTGATGCTCGGGACCACCGGACTTGCCATTGGCGTGAGAATCTGCGCGCTCCGGAGGCAGGGAAGCGCGTGCGTAAAGGCGGTTAAGTGCGTAAACAACTTGTATGTCCACACCGAGCTGTGCCAAAAGCGTCAGACAGAGACAGAGACCAATGGACGTAACCTGCGTCCGAGAGGATCCAGCAGCAGCGGTTTCTTCACTTCTCCGCGATCAGAGACTTGGATGCAGACAGTGACAAGTTAGATTTGGAAGCGTAGCTGAACATCCGGTGGTTACTGTCAAAATAAAAGCTTGATTAGTATTTCTATTTTTTTCACTTTTAGCAATGTCTGTGAACCATCACGAAGCAGCAGCTATTCATTTTATTTATTTAGACTTTTTTAAGGAGTCAGATGCAAGCACAGGATCCATATATAAGAATAATGAAAGAAAGGTTTCCAAAGAGCACATAATGAGGTCCTCAGCTACATGCAACCTGAGCCTCAGTCTGGAGAAAGTCCCTGTCCTGTGGAAGACCTCCTGTGTGATCCCGGTTCCTAAAACAGCGCACGCCAAGGAACCGGCTCACTACAGACCAGTCGCACTGGTCTGTAGTGACCAGTGCGACTGGTCTCTACAGTCACAGGACTATAGAGGAGCTGAGGAGCTCTCTCAGTGGAAGACTGAGGCACCCTCAGTGTAAGAAAGAGCGCTACGGCAGGGCCTTTATCCCCACCGCTGTCAGACTGTACAATAAGTCACTTTAAGTCACTTGCACTAGAACTAAAAACCTGCACTGCCACTTTTTTATTGTACATAATATGTCCTGAAAAGACGATATTTTTGCCTTTTACGTGTTTGCACTTTTCTTTATTTTGCACAAATCTGAGTGATTCTATCCATGCCAAATGTGACATGTACAATTCTCCTGTGTGAGTCTATCTTATCTTATCTTATAATAATCACATTTATATTCACATATTTACAGCAAGTCTCACATACAAAGAAGCCAGAGTTTTGAAATGAACCTGACTGAGCTAATGTCAGAGCATTCCAGAGGCTGAAGCTTCATCCTCACCACTCTACACACGAACTGACAGTAGCAGTGACGTAGGGCAGCAGAGATGGCTAACTATTGAAATAATTCACTTTGAAGCATGGCTAACCACTTAAATCCCATATGTGACACAGCAGCTGTAGAGGTTCAGCTTGTATTTTTTCCTCTATTTTTAATCAGGTAAATTTCACGGACGAGGAAAAAAAAACCTTCAAATCAAAACTATTCCTAACTTCCGCTAAATCCATCTGAGCAGCAGCAGAAGCAGCAGCAGCAGCAGTTTCTTCACATCTCTACGTTCAGAGACTTGGATGCAGACGACAAGGGAGATAGGAGTGCGCTGAACATCCTGTAATCACTTTCAAAATAAAAGCGTAAAACGAGAGACGTTTTTGTAAAGGTAAGGACCAGTCTGTCTAGGACCAGTCTAGGACCAGTATAGGACCAGAACCAGCTCTGGAACCAGTCTAGGGTCAGTCTAGTATTATTATGTTAAAACTATTAAAATAATCTTTCAAAACAAACCACATTCAAGCAAAAAAAACAAAAAACATTCCATTAAAAAATAAGCAGAATTCATGTAGTTGAAATAAACCACATAACGAAACAGAAAAAGTATGAAATCAACTAGTTTCTCACTTTCTCACTATTTTACTTCTACAATAAATTTGAGACTTTTAGCGACGCATGTGCACTGTCAGAAAGCAGCACCATAATGAAATAAATATCTTAGAAGCATGGCTAACCTCTTGAAACCTATATGTGACAATCTGCACACTCTCTCACAGCTGTAGAGTTTCACGCTTGTCTTTTTGAGTGAATTCCACGTACCAGGAAAACAACCCTTAAAATCATAACTGTTCCTGACTTCGGTATGTGGAAGTCTCTGCAAAACACCTGAAACGCCGTGTTTTACCGCCCCCTTCTGGACTGTTTGGCACTCGCAACGTATCCTCATTAAATTCACTTCTCCACAGCTCTGTCCTTGTGGTGACTCAAACAGACCACTCTCTCGCAGTGAATATAATAGATCCATGCTATAATAATTTAGAGTTGGTGTTGTAATGTGGCTTTCATTGCTACAGACTTACACCACATTTAACAAGCAGGTGCCAATACACACTAAACTCCCAGAACAGTCAAATTGACGGCTTTTAGTTTTGAAATCAGCTTATGAAAACTTTTGGTCTACCCAACTTTGTGAAGAATTCTGTTTCCTGTTGTTTTGTTGTTTTTGTTTGTGTTTTTTTTCTATCAAATGATCTTTTATGAAACTCTCAGAGCAGTCATTTTGACAGTTACATTCTATGGCAGTTTTCTCCAAGTTTTCTTTTTAGCATCTTTTGAAATTAAAAATCTTATAATTGACTTTTAATAAAACCGTTTTTTATTTATTTTTAGAATTCCATTGATTTTAATGGAAGCCGCCAGAATGACTGCTGGGAGTCATAGTAAATAAAATGATTCATAAAATAATTATATGGGTGAACGTTTTTTTGCTTGTGTTTAATAACTAAAAATACAAAGAAGAAGCCAAATCAACTATATAAACAAAACAAAATCAAGGAATTTAAAAATATTATTATATTCTTAATAACACTTTAGATGATCTCTCACTGATTAACAGATAATTAAGTGCTGATTATTGAACCCCAATCCCAACCCTATTCCTAACCCACTGAAAAAGTAACATCTTGGTAATATCTTATTACTAAAAATAACATTAATTATACTTATTTTTTTGATGGCGAGTTTTTGTTGTTGTTTCTTGACTGTAGTTTGTCGTGAGATTATTTTACTAGTTTTGAGATAGTAATACTTGTCATGTCATTTTCTTCCCAGATCAGAATTAATCAATTTCTGGGTCGGGGGCCATCAGAGCTGCCACCCAAGTCTCAGCCCTCGCTGATCCTCTGCAGGTGGTGGGTCCACAGGATGATGGCTTCTCCGTGATCGACGACTCGACGAGATGGTCTTGGTCTTTCAGTGGGAGCTTCAGGCAATGTGGGGTTAAGTGTCTTGCCCAGGGACACAACGACAACCATTAGGTCCAAAGACCAGTGGTCTACCAACTGAGCTACTGTCACAGTATTATAATAATTTATAATCTTATTAGAGAAAAAAGTGAGCAGTGAGTTTTTGAGCTCTTTTTAAGTATTGTATCATATTTCCAGACAACTTTTCTTGTTTAGATAAAATAAGTATGTTCTGATGTATTTTAAGAAAACATTTCTCTAAAATGTTTAAGAAATAAGTAAATAATACTGGCAATGTATGTATGTATCTTGTCAATTTTTTCTTGTTCTATTGGCAGAATTTCTTCTTATTTTAAGCATTATTTTACTTATTTTCATATCTAGTTTAGTGAGGACTAAACTAAAGTGTGACCATGGTCTCTTTGAAATAGTTTCTAAATAAACCCACACACAAGGTGGAAATACAGTGTGTGGTGCTTGTTTCCCGTGGGGCCGCTCTCAGTGTAACACACACCTGCGGACCGCATCCAAATCCAAACTCATAGATGATACTTCCTCTTTCTCTTTCTTTCTCTTTAAAATGTACCTTTGTAAACGACATTGTAGATCCAGGTCTGATCCAGTGAGTTTTGAAGGAATCTGTGATGTTATGTTTAATGATACTCTAGTTGAATTAAATCTGATTAAGGTCGAGGAAACGGAGAAGGAAAGACTTGGAAGGAGGGGGAAAGAATTGGGATGTAGCCGTACGTCTATGGTCCTCCTCCAACCACTGGCTCTTTTTCATTGATTTTTTTCTACTGTAGAATAATTCCCACAAGTCTTTGCTCTTACCTTGAGTTTTCCCTTTGTCTTGATACATGAGATTAGATTAAGTTTTTTCAGTTTGCTTTTGTACATAACATGGTGATCAGTCCATCTCTACAGGTATGATGACTTTCCTCATTTCAGTTTATGGTGAAAGGAACAATATATATTTAATGTATGTATTAGTTGATTTGAATAGGGACATTACACATTCAACATTACTGTAAATATGTCAGTATTCCAACTGTAGTCCTCAACTCTTAATCAGACCACATTCTCACAAAGTAAAGTGGCAGATGTAAAAGTCAATGAAAGAGCAGATAGAACACACACTGCAAAAAGTGATTACAAGTTAAAAAATGCTCAAAATTGGCTAAATGTATCTGATTTTTTTTTTAAGGTTGTCACAATGTGCTAAAATCAAGATACATTTGGCCAAATTTGAGCCATTTTTTAACCTATTTGTCATCACTATATGGAAGTGTGTGTTCTGTCTGCTCTTTCAATGACTTTAACTGCCCCCTTTACTTTACTTTACTTTAACTGTTGATTCTCCAACACAGATCATTACATAAGTCACGGTAAACTCAGATCCAGACCTTAGTACGAAATGAAATGAGTATGATGAAGTGGTAAGACCAGGCTAGCGTTTTTTGACCTGGACCCAGTGGCTGCTATAGGTTCGATAGTAGGTTTTCTCTGCACTAAAACCAACAAAAGTAAAACTAAAGACACACAAAGCTGATTCTCCTACAGCCACTGGGTCAAATACTAAAAATCTGGCTGTCCTTTTTTTTGTTAGGTCTCTTTCTTGCTGTTGCCGTAGCGACTGCAGGGGCATATGTGCTTGACAGAGCCACAGGACCAGGACCCAGAAGGTACGGTTCTATTTCATTACAGCTTTTTACATGACAAGAATTGGTGACAAAGTTTATAAAATGCTTTTGATAAGTTCTGTCTACTGCACAGATGGGTTTGTTTCATGATCTGGATTTGAACAGTATCTGTCAGTGTATTCTGGTCATGTTTTTGTTTCCATATAAATCTGTGTGGCTGTGGTGAGATCTGAGCATTATATACACGTTCCCAGAGAGAGGACCATAAAGTGACACCTTCTGTATCATCATGTTTGTATATATTTATTCATCAAGACGGGTCCAAGTAACTGTGTGTGTAACGGTGTGTGTAACTACCTGTGTAACTTTGTGTAAAACTGTGTGTATAACTGTGTGTGTGTGTCTTCAGATGTGGCTGGTGGCAGTGTGTGTAACCATGTCTGTATCCGTGTGTTTCAGATGTGGCAGTGTGCGTAACCATGTCTGTATCCGTGTGTTTCAGATGTGGCAGTGTGCGTAACCATGTCTGTATCTGTGTGTTTCAGATGTGGCTGGTGGCAGTGTGTGTAATTGTGTGTATAACTGTGTGTGTGTTTCAGATGTGGCTGGTGGCAGTGTGTGTAATTGTGTGTATAACTGTGTGTGTGTTTCAGATGTGGCTGGTGGCAGTGTGTGCCCTGGTCCCCGCCTCCCTCCTCCTCTCCCATCATTACCGGGATCAGGCTGTGTCCCTCTGGAGGAGAGCTCAGGCCTGGACACTGTGGTTGGGCACAGGGCAGGTGCGGCCACAGAGCCTCCACGCCTTCGTCTTCAGCCAGTGCACTCACGGCCGAGTGGACAGTGTTCTGCGGACGTTTGACCTCTACCACAGCAAGTTTCCCTCTCTCAGCATCGGAGCCACGGCCGGTGGGTGGATAACTGTATAGATACAGTAGATAGATAGATAGATAGATAGATAGATAGATAGATACTAGATAGACAGATACATAGATAGATAGACAGATAGATAGATAGATAGATAGATAGACAGATAGATAGATCGACAGATAGATAGATCGACAGATAGATACTAGATAGACAGATACATAGATAGATAGACAGATAGATAGACAGATAGACAGATAGATAGATTGACATATAAATAGATAGATACGTAGACATAGATACATAGTATGTAAGAATATATATGTAATAATATTAGTGAACTACAAAGCCGACTGTCCCGCATACAGGTGAGCAGCTGGACGAGGTGGTGAGGCGGGTGATGGACCACGCGGGGCCCTCTGTGGCTCTGGAGCTGGGGACCCACTGTGGCTACAGCTCCGTGCGGATACTACGACTGCTGCCCCCTGGAGGCCGCCTCCTCACAGTGGAGCAGGACCCTGTCTCTGCAGATTGTGCCGAGGAGCTCATCATGGTGGCTGGGTTCAAACACCACCAGGTACAGGTCACTCAGACTCAGATGCTTCTGCTCAGAACGGCTGACCACACAAGTCCAACACACACTGCAGACCACTGAAGTCCAACACACACTGCAGACCACACAAGTCCAACACACACTGCAGACCACACAAGTCCAACACACACTGCAGACCACACAAGTCCAACACACACTGCAGACCACACAAGTCCAACACACACTGCAGACCACTGAAGTCCAACACACACTGCAGACCACTGAAGTCCAACACACACTGCAGACCACACAAGTCCAACACACACTGCAGACCACACAAGTCCAACACACACTGCAGACCACTGAAGTCCAACACACACTGCAGACCACTGAAGTCCAACACACACTGCAGACCACACAAGTCCAACACACACTGCAGACCACTGAAGTCCAACACACACTGCAGACCACTGAAGTCCAACACACACTGCAGACCACAGAAGTCCAACACACACTGCAGACCACAGAAGTCCAACACACACTGCAGACCACACAAGTCCAACACACACTGCAGACCACTGAAGTCCAACACACACTGCAGACCACAGAAGTCCAACACACACTGCAGACCACTGAAGTCCAACACACACTGCAGACCACTGAAGTCCAACACACACTGCAGACCACTGAAGTCCAACACACACTGCAGACCACACAAGTCCAACACACACTGCAGACCACACAAGTCCAACACACACTGCAGACCACTGAAGTCCAACACACACTGCAGACCACACAAGTCCAACACACACTGCAGACCACACAAGTCCAACACACACTGCAGACCACTGAAGTCCAACACACACTGCAGACCACACAAGTCCAACACACACTGCAGACCACACAAGTCCAACACACACTGCAGACCACACAAGTCCAACACACACTGCAGACCACACAAGTCCAACACACACTGCAGACCACACAAGTCCAACACACACTGCAGACCACTGAAGTCCAACACACACTGCAGACCACAGAAGTCCAACACACACTGCAGACCACACAAGTCCAACACACACTGCAGACCACAGAAGTCCAACACACACTGCAGACCACTGAAGTCCAACACACACTGCAGACCACTGAAGTCCAACACACACTGCAGACCACACAAGTCCAACACACACTGCAGACCACACAAGTCCAACACACACTGCAGACCACTGAAGTCCAACACACACTGCAGACCACTGAAGTCCAACACACACTGCAGACCACTGAAGTCCAACACACACTGCAGACCACTGAAGTCCAACACACACTGCAGACCACAGAAGTCCAACACACACTGCAGACCACAGAAGTCCAACACACACTGCAGACCACAGAAGTCCAACACACACTGCAGACCGCAGAAGTCCAACACACACTGCAGACCACACAAGTCCAACACACACTGCAGACCACTGAAGTCCAACACACACTGCAGACCACTGAAGTCCAACACACACTGCAGACCACAGAAGTCCAACACACACTGCAGACCACTGAAGTCCAACACACACTGCAGACCACACAAGTCCAACACACACTGCAGACCACACAAGTCCAACACACACTGCAGACCACACAAGTCCAACACACACTGCAGACCACTGAAGTCCAACACACACTGCAGACCACACAAGTCCAACACACACTGCAGACCACACAAGTCCAACACACACTGCAGACCACACAAGTCCAACACACACTGCAGACCACACAAGTCCAACACACACTGCAGACCACTGAAGTCCAACACACACTGCAGACCACACAAGTCCAACACACACTGCAGACCACACAAGTCCAACACACACTGCAGACCACTGAAGTCCAACACACACTGCAGACCACACAAGTCCAACACACACTGCAGACCACTGAAGTCCAACACACACTGCAGACCGATACAACAGCTGCATTTTAAATGAGCTTACATTGGGTTGGCTTTAACATGAGTCATGTTGTCACTGACTTATTTAAAGGAGCAATATGTATAATCTGGCCAAAATTGGTGATACAACCTTTCCCGCTCTCCCTGACTCAGGTTGCCAGATATGCAGACGAATCCAGCTGGGACCATAATAACAATAATATCTGAATAGACAAGAGTTTTGGCAACGACAAATCTTTAACCAACACCTTTTTCATTAAGATAGAAATCCTGGTTTTATTCCTTGTTTTGTCATTAATGATTTGAGAATCATAACGAGACCTTTTTTAGTTCTGTGGCCACATGGTACTTTACCAGTGAGATTAGCTTGACGCGATGAGTTCTGGCAACCCAGATTACGGTCAGATTACGATTGGTTAAACGGTGGAGGATGGGGCATCAAAATCAAAACAATAACAAGAAACTGATTTTGAAATTCAAATATCTTTTAACTATTGTTATCAGTTAAAGAAGTATTAAGTAAGGTAAGTAAGGTTTTATTTATTATAGCCCTAGGTTTTCTTATGAGTTTTTCCTTGCCGATGCAGGAGAGTCTGTTGGGCAGTTAGTGTCCAACTAGATTAGAAGGACTGTGGTGATGATCCAGGACACGTTAACATTGTACAACATGTATGGACATTTTTCAACATGTGTCTTAACTGTTGATTCTCTGACCTGTGTTGGTGATTTCAATGGTTTTGTTAAGTCCTCTGAGATGACTTCTGTTGTGATTAATGGTATTTTAATGGTATTGTATTGTATTTATATAGCGCATTTTACAGACCAAGGTCACCCAAAGCACTTTCCAATTGGTCTGAAGAGCATGGTTCATTATTACCTTTTGGCTCCCTGTGCACCTTCGTATTGATTTTAAGATTCTGTTATTTGTGTTCAAATGTTTTCATGGATTGGCCCCTCAGTATCTGACTGATCTGTTTGTGCCCCACACTCCGTCACGGGCTCTAAGATCAGCAGACCAGGCTCTTTTAGTGGTCCCTAAGACCAAAAAGAAGTGGAGAGGGGATCGGGCTTTTGCAGCAGCAGCCCCCAGACTGTGGAATGGTCTGCCTCTGCATATTAGCCCGGCGGACTCACTTCCTGTTTTTAAGTAGCTTCTTAAGACTCATCTTTTTACTTTGGCTTTTAACTCAGTGGGTTGACTTTCTGTGCAGTTTGTATTCTTGTATATGTTTCTATATTATATTGTGTTTTTACTTGTGTTCAGCACTTTGGTCAACTGTGTATTTTTTTTTTTTTTTTTTTTAAAGTGCTCTATTAAATAAAGTTATTATTTTAACAGATTAGGGCCCTTTAATGATGACTTGACATGAAAATCTTACATATTGCTACTTTAAATACAACATCAGTGATCATATACAGCAGAAGTGTCTCCTGGCTTCTTCCTCCCATACTGTATGTGATCATAATCTGTCGGCCTTTTCATAGTAGCCACGTCCAGGACAATATTGCATGTGGACCAGGTGTGAAAGGTCAGCAAGTTGTTTTGGCGTGTCTCATGGAAGAGGGTTGAGGAGGACAGCCATTAAAGGAATAGTTCACCGTTTGTACATACTGACATATGTTCTTACCTTACCTTAGACTAGTTAATACGTACCTGTCTGGTCTTAGTCCGTGCGCTCTGTCATGCAAACGGAGCAAAAACTGGAGCACAACCGCAGCCTCCTCTGTATATTTTGTAGCACCAAAAGGTAGCTCCCGCTAGAAGCTACCAAACTCTTCCAAGTGTTCCCTATTAAATGTATATAGTTACGTGACGTGTTACACTGCAAAGTATAGTAACACAGAAATGTAACAGTCGATTTTCTCAGCGGATAAAACGGGTACTATATTGTGAGGCGTAGTAATCTGAGGTGCGCTACGTCCGCGCACTAACTTCTCTCCGGAGACTTCTCTCTCGCTCACTTCCGTCAATAGAAGCAGCGTGACTTGTAGTACACACAGTAGCAGCGAGAGAGAAGTCTCCGGAGAGAAGTTAGTGCGCGGAGAAGTTAGGAGCGCTACGTCCGCGCACTAACTTCTCTCCAGAGACTTCTCTCTGACATTTCTGTGTTACTATACTTTGCAGTGTAACACGTCACGTAACTATATACATTTAATAGGGAACACTTGGAAGAGTTCGGTAGCTTCTAGCGGGAGCTACCTTTTGGTGCTACAAAATATACAGAGGAGGCTGCGGTTGTGCTCCCGTTTTTGCTCCGTTTGCATGACAGAGCGCACGGACTAAGATCAGACAGGTACGTATTAACTAGTCTAAGGTAAGGTAAGAACATATGTCAGTATGTACAAACGGTGAACTATTCCTTTAAGAACAATGCATTGGGGTTTGGTTTGGGGGTCGTTGGACAAAAAGTATGGAATGACTTGAACGCATTTCAGAGGGTTAAGGAGGCTGTAACAAAACGCCTCTCACCGTCTGACCTCTGTGCTTTTGCCATGGCTGGTATCAGGTCATTTTAGTTCTGCATTAGTTACACCGCGCTCTACTTCTCATTCCAGAACCTTGGGGGCTTGTGACTCATACATCTCTCTGAAACTGAGAGTGTGTCAATGATAATGGCTGTGAAATGTCCATGTTATGGTATGGCTCCATCCTACCTCCAAGACACGTTAGTATAACATCCGCCAAACTCTCACTACGCTCACAAAACGTGTTCCTAAAGTGTCAAAGTGTTTAGTTCCAAGCCTAAACTGTGGAATCAGCTCCACATCCAGGAAGCAGAAATGGTCTCTGTGATCCAGGCCAGGCTTAAAACAGTCCTTTTTAATTATTCAGCATAGGGTTAAGAAGGTAAGACTCAGAAATATAAAGTTAAGTCTGAAAACACAGGTTCTCAGTGATGCTGCATATGGAGCCCCCTGCTGGAGAAGTCTGGTAACAGCACTATCAGAATCCTATCCCCTCCTCTTCTACTTTGTCTGTAATCATTATGACTTCAGCTGTAGTCTGTTCATTGCTATTCAACTGCTGTTCCATTGTCTGTTTCATTGCGTGATGATGGGACCCCTGAATTCTATCAACATTTAAGGACATTGGTCTCTGCTCTATGTGTTTGGTATCATTGCATTTCTTGTGTTTGAACGGTTTGATTCTCTGATCTGTGTTGATGAATTGACAGCTTTGTAAAGTCCTCAGAGATAACTACTGTTGTGATTTAGGACGATACAAGAATATACTTTGATTTTTTTGTTGATCTTTTAGACCTCGTCTGTTCCAGTTCCAGGTGTTGACGGGCCGTTCCTGTGGCCTGGTCCCTGTGCTTCCTGGACTCCTGGGCCCTGAGGAGGTGGGCTTCAGCCTGGTGCTCATGGACCACCGCCCCGGGCTCTTCCTCTCAGACCTGCAGGCTCTGGAGGGGGCTGGGCTGCTGCGTCCCGGAGGCTGCTCTGTGCTGTTCACCTGCAGAGACAGAGCCACAGTCACAGAGATCCAAGAGTACGCCCAGAGCAGAGGACTCTACGGCATCCACAGACACAGCTGCTTCATCGAGCTGAGCTACAGGAGCCGAGGGGGGGCAGTTAATGTGGGGGTCCCTAACCTGAGAGCTACAGGAGCAGAGGGGGGCAGTTAATGTGGGGGCCCCTAACCTGAGAGCTACAGGAGCAGAGGGGGGCAGTTAATGTGGGGGTCCCTAACCTGAGAGCTACAGGAGCAGAGGGGGGCAGTTAATGTGGGGGCCCCTAACCTGAGAGCTACAGGAGCAGAGGGGGGGCAGTTAATGTGGGGGTCCCTAACCTGAAAGCTACAGGAGCAGAGGGGGGCAGTTAATGTGGGGGTCCCTAACCTGAGAGCTACAGGAGCAGAGGGGGGCAGTTAATGTGGGGGCCCCTAACCTGAGAGCTACAGGAGCAGAGAGGGGGGCAGTTAATGTGGGGGTCCCTAACCTGAGAGCTACAGGAGCAGAGGGGGGCAGTTAATGTGGGGGCCCCTAACCTGAGAGCTACAGGAGCAGAGGGGGGGCAGTTAATGTGGGGGTCCCTAACCTGAGAGCTACAGGAGCAGAGGGGGGCAGTTAATGTGGGGGTCCCTAACCTGAGAGCTACAGGAGCAGAGGGGGGCAGTTAATGTGGGGGCCCCTAACCTGAGAGCTACAGGAGCAGAGAGGGGGGCAGTTAATGTGGGGGTCCCTAACCTGAGAGCTACAGGAGCAGAGGGGGGGCAGTTAATGTGGGGGCCCCTAACCTGAGAGCTACAGGAGCAGAGGGGGGCAGTTAATGTGGGGGTCCCTAACCTGAGAGCTACAGGAGCAGAGGGGGGCAGTTAATGTGGGGGCCCCTAACCTGAGAGCTACAGGAGCAGAGGGGGGGCAGTTAATGTGGGGGTCCCTAACCTGAGAGCTACAGGAGCAGAGGGGGGCAGTTAATGTGGGGGTCCCTAACCTGAGAGCTACAGGAGCAGAGGGGGGCAGTTAATGTGGGGGCCCCTAACCTGAGAGCTACAGGAGCAGAGAGGGGGGCAGTTAATGTGGGGGTCCCTAACCTGAGAGCTACAGGAGCAGAGGGGGGGCAGTTAATGTGGGGTCTGTGTACAGTATGTGTGTCTGTGTGTGTGTGTGTATACCTAATAATAAATGTGGTTTGGGTGGGTCTGTTGGGCGGTCTGAGTTGACGGGTCATGTTCATGTTTTTAACCAAACTGTAAAGAACTTTGTGTTGCATTTCTTGTACAAAAAGCGGTTTATAAATAACATCTGATGGACTGAAGAATGGAACCAGTGGAATCCATCGAACTTTTTCCTTTAACTTTCAAAAAAGCTTGGTTCTTTTCATTCACTTTTGTAAGATTTATAGTTTGAAAAAACGATATCTGATTATTCACGTTTCAGATTCTGCCTTTCTCAAATCTGTTGGTAACCTTGCCTGCAAGCTGAATTCTCGCGGTATTTGTGAGTTCACAAACACTCGAGAATACATCTTGTACCGCTCCCGCTTACACTTTTCGAGTCGAACCACTGGGTGTGCGAGCCAATCACGCGCCAGTCTGGGGGTTTAGGGCGGGATATCCGGGTTTGACGAAAACAAGAAGTGCCGGGCCGAAGCAAAACAAACATGGCTACGCAGGAGGACGGACGCGTAGCTGAGGCTATCAAGTCAGTTTTAGCAGAATCTCCAATTTCTTTTTTGAAAGATGAACAGTGAGAGGCGCTTTGTGCATTTCTGGACGGCAAAGATGTTTGTGCATTTTTACCTACGGGTTTTGGCAAGAGTGTAGGCGGGCACACAGCGTCACTTCGCCCAATCAGCTTGAAGTATTCTGCTGCTTATCCCTCCTTTCCCCGAAAGGATTCTCCGGGAGAAATCCCAGATTGATATTGCGGAGAACGCGTTAGAGTTCTACACAATCATCAATCTGGCTCCTGCCAGGTTAATCTGTTGGGTCTTTTTGTAGAATTGAATTGAAGCCTTTCACTTTGGCTTCAATCAAAATTCAATTTATTTTTTTAACGCCCTGAATCACAACAGTTTCAAAAGGAGCAGAGACGAAAGTCCATAAATGTATTCAAAAGTTAAAAAGCATCAGAGTTGGTGTCATTTCTTAAACACTTTTTGGCATTTTTTGTTGTCGTTACTGTTTCCTGAGTACATTTTGTGTTGATACAATCTCAAGGATCAATGATTGTTTACACTGTTCCTACGTTTTTCTTGTTTTTTTTTTTCAATTTTTTTTCAGCAGGGGTTGTGCAGCAGGGGTTGTGACCAAAACAGCGCTCTGTCCTGACGTCACAGAGACCAGCGCTCAAACAGCGCTCAAACAGTATTCCAAGCTATTGACACGGCTCCCGGTCATTTATTCACTGCCTACAGCCCCATTGCTCCACACCTCGGGATTTTGCACAGTTTATCAGTATTTTATACCACTCAAAGCATCGGCACAGCGCGCACTGGCTCTGTAGCAGCCCTCTCACCATTTGTTACCGGCAACTCCGCTCCGGGTCGCTCCGGACCATACGTAGACCGCTCAAAGCTTAGCGCTCAAAGCAAATATTATATGCTCAAAGCATATATATGTGTACTCAAAGCATATATATGTGTACTCAAAGCATATATATGTGTACTCGAAGCAAATATTATATGCTCAAAGCAAATATATGTGTGCTCAAAGCATATATTATATGCTCAAAGCATATATATGTGTACTCAAAGCATATATGTGTACTCGAAGCAAATATTATATGCTCAAAGCAAATATATGTGTGCTCAAAGCAAATATTATATGCTCAAAGCATATATATGTGTACTCGAAGCATATATATGTGTGCTCAAAGCATATATATGTGTGCTCGAAGCAAATATTATATGCTCAAAGCAAATATTATATGCTCAAAGCAAATATATGTGTACTCGAAGCAAATATTATATGCTCAAAGCAAATATATGTGTACTCAAAGCATATATATGTGTGCTCGAAGCATATATTATATGCTCAAAGCAAATATATGTGTACTCAAAGCATATATATGTGTACTCGAAGCATATATATGTGTACTCGAAGCGTATATATGTGTGCTCAAAGCATATATATATGTGTGCTCAAAGCATATATATGTACTCGACAGCATATATGTGTGCTCAAAGCATATATAAGTGTGCTCGAAGCAAATATTATATGCTCAAAGCAAATATATGTGTGCTCAAAGCAAATATTATATGCTCAAACCAAATATGTGTGTACTCGAAGCAAATATTATATGCTCAAAGCAAATATATGTGTGCTCAAAGCATATATTATATGCTCAAAGCAAATATATGTGTGCTCGAAGCATATATATGTGTACTCAACGCATATATATGTGTACTCGAAGCACATATATGTGTGCTCAAAGCAAATATTATATATATTTATATATTAAATATATTAACATTCCCATCTCTGTGTGGAGTGAGAGGACAAGTGCCCAAAAATAACAATTGTAAACCGCTTTGTGACTCTGGTCTGTGAAAGGCGGTATATAAATAAATAGAGATTACTTGTATGCTCGAAGCATATATGCTCAAAGCCATACACACTACTCCAGGCTGTTTAAACTCCGCTCTTGCCGCTCCTGGTTGATCCTGAAGCACTGATCCAGATGAATGTAACCATCAGGACAATGGTCACACACAACGGCAGACTTGCTTATGGGCTCAAAGGCACCGCTCACTATGCTTTTGACCTGTAAATACCTGCTTTAGAAAGTTTACCACTGATCCAGTCTGTTATAGCATCATTATGACCATTGAACATTATTATTAACAATAATAATAATAATGTTGAAGATGATGATGATGATTACGATTATTAAAATACAAAAATATTACTATTGTAATTGTTGTCATTTTTGTTGTTGTAATTAGCAGTAGTACTAGCATTAGTAATAGAAGTAGTACTACTACTACTAATGTCTTTAGTACAGCAGCTTATATTTCCAGGACACTAATACTTTCATTTTGGGGTATTTCTATTTTAATGAATAATTTATTCTCAACTTTTAAGTGTACATCTGAATTATGTTGTTGCGCATGCGCATTCACACGTTTAAGGGGCCTAAAAAGGAAAAATCCACCGCGTGTCTGTAGTGATGAACCATGGCGGCTGAAGTAAGTATCTGACTAATGCTGTTGTTTGTGGGCACATCCATAAATCTAATTATTAAAATTATGCTGCCTAAACTATATCTAGATGATTAAGGTGTTTACAACAGTGGAAGAGCTATATGAAATAGAAAATAATGTTTGCCCATACTGTAAAAGTAATACGTTGGCGTCCAAAGAGCACATTCATAATGTGCATTATCGCTACGCTGTTTCCTTCAACAATAGACAACACGGTAAATTGTCTTCTGTTTTTTATACACTTCTACACTTCTTCATACACTGACGTGCGTATTCATACACGTGTCCACGCGCGCACGCACACAAACAGGCATATACGCTCATAGAAAAAAGTGTTCACTGTGTGTGAGCGCACGCACACGAACTGGCATACACGCTGAAATGCACACTCACAGAAAAAAGTGTTCAGTCTGTCTGTGTGTGTGTGTGCACTGTTATCTAACAATCAATCATCTTTTCTGAAAAGGCATTTAATGGCTCCACAAAAGAAATTTCTATCTTTGATTCACTGGCACAACACACCAGGATATCAGATCAAGAGATGCAGATCTTAAGGTTTATTGTATGCTTATTCACAGTAATTGGCTATTGGCGTGTGTGTTTTCCAAAATTCAACATTTGACACTTTCAGGCAAGGTTTTGCAAATGTGTGGAATCTGGAGGAATGGGCTGTCCTTTACCCACCTCAGTGGAGACAAAAGGACAGTGTTAACTGTGGAGTTTTTGTTTGCACTGTAGGTGTTTTCTGATGAATACTATCCAAGGTATTTTAATAAATGTATATTACTCTTGGCAGGCGGCAGAACTTTATATTCGTGATGTCAAAATGGGCAATGACCCTCTCAATACAATACAGTTATGTCATTTAAGAATGTACCATGCCTCCAGACTAGTTGTTGATGCTCTTGAATCAGGTAACATATATCTTCCAAGTATTTATAAGATGGCTGCTGTAGAGCTCAGGAAAATTTATAAAAATGGAACCAATTAAAATCAAAGAAATCACATAGTATCAGCAAGTCCCAAATTCCATTCTGATGTGATGATGATCCCGAGCTTTATGGCAGTCTAATCAGCTGTAGTTGAATTAAATATATTACTTTTTATTTTAAAGGGAGCAAAAGTGCGTGAACCATGCATGGCCGAAGACATACATGCCTGTATATTTTATGACAGAAGTGTAAAGGGACAAGTAAAGTAAGTTATCTTTACGAGACATGGGACCCCTGCCAGCTAAATCAACAGAGGCAGCAATGCTGATTTATCTTGAGATAAATGCCCTGATGAATATCAGGGGATATTGTCGGGCGGTGGAAGGAATACTTTGAGGTTCTCCTCAATCCCCCCGTCACGTCCTCTGTTACAGAGGCTGAGGATGTTGGGGCGGATACATCCATCTCCCTTGCTGAGGTCACCAAGGTGGTTGGCAGCCTCCATGGTGGCAAGGCTCCGGGTGTGGATGAGATCCGTCCTGATTATCTAAAGTCTCTGGATGTTGTAGGACTCTCTTGGCTGACACGTCTCTGCAACATCGCGTGGCAATCGGGGGCGGTGCCAATGGAGTGGCAGACCGGGGTGGTGGTCCCTCTCTACAAGAAGGGGGACCGGAGGGTGTGTTCCAATTATCGTTGGATCACACTCCTCAGCCTCCCTGGTAAGGTTTACTCCAAGGTACTGGAGAGGAGGCTACGGCCGATGGTCGAATCTCGGATTCAGGAGGAGCAGTGTGGCTTTTGTCCCGGTCTTGGAACACTGGACCAGCTCTATTCTCTCCATCGGATACTCGAGGGTTCATGGGAGTTCGCCCAACCTGTCCACCTGAGCTTTGTGGATTTGGAGAAGGCGTTCGACTGTGTTCCCCGGGGTGTGCTTTGGGGGGTTCTCCGGGAGTACAGGGTCGGGGGTCTTCTGCTGAGGGCCATCCGATCCCTGTATGACCAGAGCCAGAGCTGTGTTCGCATTGCCGGCAGTAAGTCAGACCTGTTCCCGGTGAATGTTGGCCTCCGACAGGGCTGCCCTTTGTCACCGGTTCTGTTCACTGTGTTTATGGACAGAATTTCTAGGCGCAGCCAGGGGTCGGAGGGGGTCCGGTGCGGAGACTACAGGATTTCATCTCTGCTGTTTGCGGACGATGTTGTCCTGTTGGCTCCAACGAACCAGGACCTGCAGCATGCACTGGGGCGGTTTGCAGCCGAGTGTGAAGCGGCTGGGATGAGAATCAGCACCTCCAAATCCGAGGCCATGGTGCTCGACCGGAAAAAGGTGCCTTGCCCTCTTCAGGTGGGTGGAGAGGTCCTTCCTCAAGCGGAGGAGTTCAAGTATCTCGGGGTCTTGTTCACGAGTGAGGGAAGGATGGAGCGTGAGATTGACAGGCGGATCGGTGCAGCGTGCGCAGTGATGCGACCGTTGTGGTGAAGAGGGAGCTGAGCCGAAAGGCAAAGCTCTCGATTTACCGGTCAATCTTCGTTCCCTCCCTCACCTATGGTTATGAGCTGTGGGTAATGACCGAAAGAACAAGATCGCGGATACAAGCGGTCGAAATGAGCTTCCTCCGCAGAGTGGCTGGGCGCTCCCTTAGAGATAGGGTGAGGAGCTCGGTCACACGGGAGGAGCTCGGAGTAGAGCCGCTGCTTCTCCACGTCGAGAAGAACCAGTTGAGGTGGCTCGGGCATCTGTTCCGGATGCCTCCTGGACGCCTCCCTGGGGAGGTGTTCCGGGCACGTCCCACCGGGAGGAGGCCCCGGGGAAGACCCAGGACCCGCTGGAGGGACTATGTCTCTCAGCTGGCCTGGGAACGCCTTGGGGTCCCCCCGAACGAGCTGGAGGAGGTGTGTGTGGATAGGGAAGTCTGGGCGTCTCTGCTTAGACTGCTGCCCCCGCGACCCGGCAACGGATAAAGCGGAAGAAAATGGATGGATGGATGGATAAATGCCCTGATGAAGGCTTATTGCCAAAATGCGTTTGCCATGTGGCATTAAAGGCTTCATAATGGTCGTGACTGAACTGGATTCCTATTGTAACAACACATCTTCAGGAGGGTAAAACAAACCGGTCTCATGACGGTCTAGAGGACACATCCATTTAGCACTGCTGTCCTTAATCTGTACATTTCTGTACTATAGTAGAGCTCCACACATAAAAAATGGGTAAGTATGATGCTGCTGGCTTATGAGCATTGTCAGGCAAAGTTCTTATTGCCCCTCTCATTCCATGTAAGAATGAAATTACTGTTTATTTTTTCCTACAGAGCATTGTATCCACTGGTCTGTAAAGAGAACTGGGTCAAGTGTGAAACATGCAATGGCTGGCTACACAAAGATTGTGCGATTATTTGTGAAGAGTACAAGTCGTCTTTGTTCACCTGTGGATGTGATCTCCCCGAGCCATACAGGTTCACAAGGTATGTGATATATGTAAAAAAGATTAAATACATATTTGTTAAAGATGCTTGAATAAAGCCCTTCTCACACTAGAACTTTGACTTGTCTGCGTGACCACGGCATTACTGGACTTGTTTCCCATGAAAGAATAAAGGTTTGTGGAATTAAATCTAATGCCACCTATGTTTTGAATATGACGTCTGTCCCTCTTGCAGGATGTAAAAGCCTTACTGGATTCAAACAAAAGAAAATCAAACCGAATGTTCCTGTGGTGCAATCCAGGGAGGAACATGTCACTAAAGCAAATTTTGAACGGAAGACCTTCCATTTTTAGTGAAACACCAGTATGCCATGTTTCATTTGTATTTGATTATTACCATAATATCATCACACTCAATGAAATTGTTTTATTTTGCAGCTTGAGGAGTTAATAAAAACAGTAAAAAAATGCACTGGACTATTTGGAAATCAGAAATGTGGATTTTATCATCGACGTTATGGTGCCAGAAGTATGTTTACATTTATGTTTCATAAGTTACATTGTCCTGTAACTTTATCTGCCATGTTTTTTTCTGACTTTATTTTTTTTCTAAAATGTTTGCTTTAGGTAACAATTGATATCCTCATGAGATTGGAAGGCTTCACAAGGTTCCAAGCCGAATTGACCCTTGGCCGAATAATAGACGACTGAGTTGCTCTTAATTTGTTGGATTTGTGTTGAGTTTTAAAACATTTTAATAAACTACATTGGCTTAGGTTGGGCCTATATTTGATATGATCTATTTATTGATATAGAAACCCTGAAAACAGAGAGTCCTGAAAAAATAAGCTGGTATCCTTGAGACATTAGTAGTAGTAGTACTACTACTCACAACAACAATAATAATGGTCATAATGACGCTGTGAGCTGTACGTTAACAGACTGGATCAGTGGTAGACTTTATTAAGCAGTTATTACATTTTTTTTCCTATTGCTTGAAAACTGTTTTCAAAATCACTCATTATCATTAATCACTCATTAAACTACACACAACACTGGGACATAAACCAAACACATCTGTATCAAAATTAAACTATTGTCAAAACTCAAACTCTTCTCTAAAAATTAAACAATCATTTGTCATAATGAAACTCTGAGGACAAAAGGATACACTCTTGCATCACGTGAACACACTTTCAGATTGTAAGCAACACAAACAGTACTTTATATAAAACACTCCAGTCTTTAATTTTCACTGTTTGTATTCTGTTTATCAGTTAGATTTCTGTGAAGCATCATTGGAACTATTTTTGTTCTCATCTCTATACAGTATACTGTACATCTGTACAGGTTGTATATGTACAAGCTGTACATGGTATATAAATAAAGATTACTTACTTATCACAGTACTACAGTATACTGCACATGACAGTAGTATACTTTACTGCATTTGTGTCAATGCAGTAACAAAAAAAAAAGTAGAACAAGGCAATTGTGTGTGTGTGGATTATGGCTCATGGTCCCTGCTCTGACTTTTTCCACAAAGGCAACGTCCTGCTGTTGGTGACAATTGCCGACCAGCCCCATCTCCAGAAGGTCTTCGAGTCATTTTGCATAAATATATATATGCTTTGAGCACACATATATTTGCTTCGAGCACACATATATATGCTTTGAGCACACATATTAATGCTTCGAGCACACATATATATGCTTTGAGCACACATATATTTGCTTCGAGCATATAATATATGCTTTGAGAAGACATATATTTGCTTCGAGCACACATATATTTGCTTCGAGCATATAATATATGCTTTGAGAAGACATATATTTGCTTCGAGCACACATATATTTGCTTTGAGCACACATATATATGCTTCGAGCACACATATATTTGCTTTGAGCATATAATATTTGCTTCGAGTACACACATTTGTTTTGAGCATATAATATTTGCTTCGAGTACACACATTTGCTTTGAGCATATAATATTTGCTTCGAGTACACATATATATGCTTCGAGCACACATATATTTGCTTTGAGCACACATATATATGCTTTGAGCACACATATATTTGCTTCGAGCATATAATATATGCTTTGAGAAGACATATATTTGCTTTGAGCACACATATATTTGCTTTGAGCACACATATATTTGCTTCGAGCACACATATTTGCTTTGAGCACACATATATATGCTTCGAGCACACATATATTTGCTTCGAGCACACATATATTTGCTTTGAGCACACATATATATGCTTCGAGCACACATATATTTGCTTTGAGCATATAATATTTGCTTCGAGTACACATATATTTGCTTTGAGCATATAATATTTGCTTCGAGCACACATATATGCTTTGAGTACACATATATTTGCTTTGAGCATATAATATTTGCTTTGAGTACATATATATGCTTTGAGCACACATATATATGCTTCGAGCACACATATATTTGCTTTGAGCATATAATATTTGCTTTGAGTACACATATATTTGCTTTGAGCATATAATATTTGCTTTGAGTACACATATATATGCTTTGAGTACACATATATATGCTTCGATCACACATATATTTGCTTTGAGCATATAATATTTGCTTCGAGTACACATATATTTGCTTTGAGCATATAATATTTGCTTCGAGTACACATATATATGCTTTGAGCATATAATATTTGCTTCGAGTACACATATATATGCTTTGAGCATATAATATTTGCTTCGAGTACACATATATATGCTTTGAGCACACATATATGCTTCGAGTACACATATATTTGCTTTGAGCATATAATATTTGCTTCGAGTACACATATATATGCTTTGAGCATATAATATTTGCTTCGAGTACACATATATTTGCTTTGAGCATATAATATTTGCTTCGAGTACACATATATATGCTTTGAGCATATAATATTTGCTTCGAGTACACATATATTTGCTTTGAGCATATATTTGCTTCGAGTACACATATATTTGCTTTGAGCATATAATATATGCTTCGAGCACACATATATGCTTTGAGCACACATATATTTGCTTTGAGCATATAATATTTGCTTCGAGTACACATATATATGCTTCGATCACACATATATTTGCTTTGAGCATATAATATTTGCTTCGAGTACACATATATTTGCTTTGAGCATATAATATTTGCTTCGAGTACACATATATATGCTTTGAGCATATAATATTTGCTTCGAGTACACATATATATGCTTTGAGCATATAATATTTGCTTCGAGTACACATATATATGCTTTGAGCACACATATATGCTTCGAGTACACATATATTTGCTTTGAGCATATAATATTTGCTTCGAGTACACATATATATGCTTTGAGCATATAATATTTGCTTCGAGTACACATATATTTGCTTTGAGCATATAATATTTGCTTCGAGTACACATATATATGCTTTGAGCATATAATATTTGCTTCGAGTACACATATATTTGCTTTGAGCATATATTTGCTTCGAGTACACATATATTTGCTTTGAGCATATAATATATGCTTCGAGCACACATATATGCTTTGAGCACACATATATTTGCTTTGAGCATATAATATTTGCTTCGAGTACACATATATATGCTTTGAGTACACATATATATGCTTTGAGCATATAATATTTGCTTTGAGTACACATATATATGCTTTGAGTACACATATATATGCTTTGAGCATATAATATTTGCTTTGAGCGCTAAGCTTTGAGCGGTCTACGTATGGTCCGGAGCGACCCGGAGCGGAGTTGCCGGTAACAAATGGTGAGAGGGCTGCTACAGAGCCAGTGCGCGCTGTGCCGATGCTTTGAGTGGTATAAAATACTGATAAACTGTGCAAAATCCCGAGGTGTGGAGCAATGGGGCTGTAGGCAGTGAATAAATGACCGGGAGCCGTGTCAATAGCTTGGAATACTGTTTGAGCGCTGTTTGAGCGCTGGTCTCTGTGACGTCAGGACAGAGCGCTGTTTTGGTCACAACCCCCTCTCTTTTTTTTTGTCAATTGTATAAATGCACAAAACATTTTCTTATTATTTTTTTTTACTACAAATTTTCACTGTTTCTCATCAAATACATGTCTTAAAAAAACACTGCTTAATAAAACATTGAAGTTCCACCTTTTGTGTTTACAGACGTGTGTTCAATTCCAAGTTTAAAACACCTCAAATACATTACACATCAATTAATTTTTGAATTAATACAGAAATGCATTTTCCTTTTTACTTGAGCACATTCTAAAGTGCTTTTTCTTTAGTACTGGTTCTTTTGATAACTAATAGATTTACCATAGACAAACTGTCCACTAGAGGGAGGCAGAGTCCTTCTGAGCCGAGCACTTGTTCTGTGCCTGTTGTTTGTACCTGTGTGTGTTGTTTGTACCTTTGCCTGTTGTTTGTACCTGTGTGTGTTGTTTGTACCTGTGTGTGTTGTTTGTACCTGTGCCTGTTGTTTGTACCTGTGTGTGTTGTTTGTACCTGTGTGTGTTGTTTGTACCTGTGCGTGTTGTTTGTACTTGTGTGTGTTGTTTGTACCTGTGCCTATTGTTTGTACCTGTGTGTGTTGTTTGTACCCGTGCCTGTTGTTTGTACCTGTGTGTGTTGTTTGTACCTGTGCCTGTTGTTAAACATGTGCATGATGTTTGACACAAACCGGAGCACCAGGAGGAAAACCTGCTTCAGTAAAGACTTTATGTGAAATGCAAATAGGTTTCACTCCAACTGTTGGAGGTTCTCAGGCTCTAACCACGAGAATGTTCTGCTGTGTTTCACTATGTTCTTTATAGATAGATACAGTAGATAGATACAGTAGATAGATAGATAGATACAGTAGATAGATAAGATGTGCTTTATTTATCTCACATAGGAGAAATTTGGCATGGAGAGACACTCAGATTGTGCAAAAGGAGGAAATGTGCAAACATGTTACATGCAGGATATATGTACAATAAAAGTGACAATAATTATGTGCAACAAAAGTGACAAGTGTCAATTGGAAACAGTGTCAATAGTAGTGCAGGTTTTCACACAGGGATCATTTAAAGTGACTTATTGTACAGTCTGACAGCGGTGGGGATAAAGGCCCTGCGGTAGCGCTCCTTCCTACACTGAGGGTGCCTCAGTCTTCCACTGAAGGAGCTCCTCAGCTCCTCTACAGTCCTGTGCAGTGGGTGGGAGGTGTTGTTCATGATGGAGGTGGCTTTGGCTAGCACCCTCCTGTCCCTCACCTCCTCCACAGAGTCCAGGGAGCAGCCCAGAGTGGAGCTGGCCCTCCTGACCAGCTTGTTCAGTCTGTTTCTGTCCCGCTCTGTGCTTCCCGGGGCCCAGCACACGGCAGCGTAGTAAATGGCAGAAGCTACCACAGAGTCATAAAAAGTCCTGAGCAGAGGCCTGCTCACTCCGAAGGACCTCAGCCTCCTCAGAAGGAAGAGGCAACTTTGGCCCTTCTTGTGCAGGGCGTTTGTATTATGGGACCAGTCCAGTTTATTGTTAATGTGAACACCCAGGTACTTGAAGCTGTCCACCAGCTCAATGTCCTCCCCCTGGATGTTCAGCAGCGTGTGGGAAAGTTGTTTTCTCCTGAAGTCGATGACCATCTCC